GCAAAATCTCCATTCCCAACCCACTCCAGGGGGAAGGATACTGCAAAATCTCCATTCCTACCCCACTCCAGGGGGAAGGATACTGCAAAATCTCCATCCCCACTAAACTCCAGGGGAAGGATATTGCAAAATCTCCATTCCCACCCCACTCAAGGGGAAAGGATATTGCAAAATCTTCATTCCCACCCCACTCCAGGGGGAAGGATACTGCAAAATCTCCATTCCCACCCCACTCCAGGGGAAGGATACTGCAAAATCTCCATTCCCACCCCACTCAAGGGGGAAGGATATTGTAAAATCTCCATTCCCACCCCACTCCTAGGGGAAGGATATTGCAAAATCTCCATTCCCTCCCCACTCTGGGGCCAGCAAGAGGTGGTATTTGCCGGTTCTCTGAACTACTCAAAATTTCTGCTACCGGTTCTCCAGAACCTGTTAGAACCTGCTGGATTTCACCCCTACTTTTGACTCCTTTTCTTTCCTGGCTGTGGAGGATGGTCGACTGTCATTTTTGTTCTCTACGGTGGAATTCCTTGCGTGGCGGCTAAAGAGTTTTAGCTTCTTTCGGATCTAAGTTGCCTGGAAAACAGCAGCAATCTAGGGGTAAAATCCAGCACGTTCTGACAGGTTCTAGAGAACCAGTAGTGGAAATTTTGAGTAATTCGAAGAACCGGCAAATACCACCTCTGGCTGGCCCCAGAGTGGGGTGGGAATGGGGATTTTGCAATATCCTTCCCCCAGGAGTGGGATAGGAATGGAGATTTTGCAATACCCTTCCCCCAGGAGTGGGGTGGGAATGGAGATTTTGCAATATTCTTCCCCCAGGAGTGGGGTGGGAATGGAGATTTTGCAATATTCTTCCCCCAGGAGTGGGGTGAAAACGGAGATTTTGCAATATCCTTCCCCCAGGAGTGGGGTAGGAATGGAGATTTTGCAGTATCCTTCCCCAGGAGTGGGGAGGGAATGGAGATTTTGCAGTATCCTTCCCCCAGGAGTGGGGTGGGAATGGAGATTTTGCAATATCCTTCCCCCAGGAGTGGGGTGGGAATGGAGATTTTGCAATATCCTTCCCCCAGGAGTGGGGTGAAAATGGAGATTTTGCAATATCCTTCCCCCAGGAGTGGGGTGGGAATGGAGATTTTGCAGTATCCTTCCCCCAGGAGTGGGGTGGGAATGGAGATTTTGCAGTATCCTTCCCCTGCCCACCCACCGACGAGCCCACCATGCCCACAAGCCACGCCCACAGAACCGGTAGTAAAAAATTTTGAATTTCACCACTGCAGCAATCCAAAATACTGCTCCATAGCTGCTGAAAAAACAGGCAGGGTGAATTTGAATGTCAGCTTGAACTTGGCTTGTTGAAAGCCAGAGGCCCCTGGCCTTTCCCAGATGTAGACACGATGGCACAAAGATTGGGTACCTCTTTCCCATTATCAGCCTGATCCTTGCAAGACGTAAGGGATCTTCTGAATATTACACTTTGAAGATAGTTCTTCATCGGGTTTGCGCTCAAGGTATTTCAAGGGTACCTGTTTCTGTACATCAGTGTTTCTCGGCTTTGGCAAACTTTAAGAAAGGTGGACTTCCCGACTCCTGGAGGAAGGATATTGCAAAATCTCCATTCCCACCCCACTCTGTGGCCAGCCAGAGATGTTATCTGCCAGTTCTCTGAACTGCTCAAAATTTCCGCTGCCGGTTCTCCAGAACCTGTCAGAACCTGCTGGATTTCACTCCTGCTTCTCTCCCTTTGTGATGGAGCTTCAAGTAGAAACGTGACTCTCCATTTCAAGGGGATTTTCTGGATTTTTCTGACCTCTCCGGGTGCCCCTCCTTCAATCCCGCCTTAATAAATCTCAGTCCTAGTTCAACTATAATGATGGCAGCCCTCCACTCCAAGCTTCCCTCCTTTGTGCCTTTTAATTCTTTTTCACCGGCATCTGTTGCCGAAATCTCAAACCTCCTGGAGAAATTCAGGTGTTTGTGTCACCTTTATTTATTTATTTGCAGGAACTGGCGGAGAGAATGATCTTCCCAGACTTTTTGACAATGTGTTAATGCTACTGGGATATTTTTAACTCCCTGCTTTCCTTTTTTTCCTCTTCATCTTTCTGCCTTCCATCCTTCACCACCACTCCTTCTCCTCTTTCTTCTCCCTTCCTTCTTCCCTCTTCCATCCTTCTTCTCCTCAACTCCTCCTCCCTTCCATCCTTTGTCTCCTCCTCCTCTTCCTTCTCTCTTCCATCCTTTTTCTCCTCAACTCCATCTCCTTTTCCTTTCCATCCTTCCCTTCCTCTTTCTCCCTTCCTCCTTCTCCTCCACAATTCCTTCCATCCTCTCCTCCTTTCCTTCTCTCTTCTTGTCCTCCTCCTGTCTTCCATTCTTTTTCTCAACTCCTTCTCCTTTTCCTTTTCATCCTTCTCCCTTCCATCCTTCTCCACCACTCCTTCTCCTCCTTCTCCTTCTCCTCTTCCTTCTCCCTTCTTTCTTCCCTCTTCCATCCTTCTTCTCCTCAACTCCTCACTTCCATCTTTTCCTCCTCCCTTTCTCTCTTCTATCCTTTTTCTCCTCAACTCCTTCTCCTTTTCCTTTCCATCCTTTCCTTCCTCCTTCTCCCTTCCTCTTTCTCCTCCACAATTCCTTTCATCCTCCTCCTCCTCTCTTCTTGTCCTCCTCCTCCCTTTCATCCTCCTCCACGATTCCTCCTCCTTCTCCCTTCCATCCTTCTTCTGCACAATTCCTTCTCCCTTCCATCCTTCTCCACAATTCCTCCTCCTCTTCCCTTCCATCCTTTTCCTGAACAATTCCTTCTCCTTCTCCCTTTCATCATTCTCTCTTCCACCTTTCTCCCTTCCATTCTTCTTCTGCACAATTCCTTCTCCCTTCCATCCTTCTCCACAATTCCTCCTCCTCCTCCCTTCCATCCTTTTCCTGAACAATTCCTTCTCCTTCTCCCTTTCATCATTCTCTCTTCCACCCTTCTCCTCCTCATCCCCCCTTCCATCCTTCTCCATCACTCCTTCTCCTCCTTCTCCTCTTCCTTCTCTCTTCCTTCTTCCCTCTTCCATCCTTCTTCTCCTCAACTCCTCACTTCCATCTTTTTCCTCCTCCCTTTCTCTCTTCTATCCTTTTTCTCCTCAACTCCTTCTCCTTTTCCTTTCCATCCTTCCCTTCCTCCTTCTCCCTTCCTCTTTCTCCTTCACAATTCCTTCCATCCTTCTCCTCCTCCTCTCTTCTTGTCCTCCTCCCTTTCATCCTTCTCCATGATTCCTCCTCCTTCTCCCTTCCATCCCCCTCCTCCTCCCTTCCATCCTTCTTCTGCACAATTCCTTCTCCTTCTCCCTTTCATTCTCTCTTCCACCTTTCCCCTTCCATCCTTCTTCTGCACAATTCCTTCTCCCTTCCATCCTTCTCCACAATTCCTCCTCCTCCTCCCTTCCATCCTTTTCCTACATAATTCCTTTTCCTTCTTCCTTTCATCATTCTCTCTTCCACCCTTCTCCTCGTCCTCCTTCTCCCTTCCATCCCCCTCCTCCTCCCTTCCATCCTTCTTCTCCACAATTCCTTCTCCTCCACCCTACCTCCCTTTTCCTGCACAATTCCTTCTCCTTCTCCCTTTCATCATTCTCTCTTCCGCCCTTCTCCTCCTCCTCCCTTCCATCCTTCTTCTCCACAATTCCTTCTTCTCTCTTCCACCCTTCTCCCTTCCATCCTTCTACTCCACTTCTCCTTCTTCTCCTTCTCCTTCCCCTTTCACCCTTCCCCTTCTCCACTTCCTCCCTCCCTTCCATCCTTCTCCACTTCTCCTTCTTCTCCTTCTCCTTCCCCTTTCATCCTTCTCCTTCCCCACCTCCTCCCTCCCTTCCATCCTTCTCCTTTTTTCTTCCCTCTTTCGATTGGACAGACAGATTTTACGCAACCGCATCCGGAAAGTTTTGCAATTTGCCTTTCCTGCGATCTTGCAGCCTTGTCAGCTTAGGATCTGGACTGTTGAGTGAACCTCCACAAGTTTGGGATTCCCACCGGGCAGCGGCGTCCAAAGGCCACCCCGCAAGGTAGTCCGCCCTCCCCGGGGGATGCTGCAGGTCGGGAAGAGCCCCCAATGCAGCCGGGCACAAGCCCGGAGAAGCGGCGGGCGGCGGGTGGGAGAAATGCGCAACTGAGCGCTGGAGGGTCCCCGAAAGCGAAAGGAGGAAGCAGGCGGGTTGGCTCGAGGTTTGGTTCTAAGTGGTGTTTTGTGTGAACTTCTCCTTGCTTCATAAACTGGTGTGTGTGTTTGTGTGTGTGTGTGAGATTGTAAATCTCCGCTGATTGGATGATCAAGCAGGATGGGGCCCCCTCCTCTCCTCCTCCTCCTCCTCCATTCTCTTCCTCCCTTCATTCTCCTCCTCCTTTCCCCTTCCTCCTCCTCTGTTAATAACCCGTTTGCCCTCCCACCTCCTGCTTTTCCTTTCCTCCTCCCTTCATTCTCCTCCTCCTCCTTTAATTCCCCTCCTTCTCCTCTTTTAATTCCTTTCCCCTTCCCCTTCCTCCTCTTCCTCTCCTTCTCCCTTCATTTTCTTCTCATTTAATCCTCTCCTCCTCTTCCTTTTATTACCCTTTTCTTCTCTTCCTTCTCTTCCTTAATTCTTCTCCTTTTAGAAGAGGGAGAGGCTAGGTTTGAGGAGAAAGATTGCTGTACTACAATAAAAAAAAAGAAGATGAAGTGGAAGAAAGGCAGCTCTGAACAAATATAAATATAAATAGATTAGTAAAAAGAATGAATTGTTAAAGAATAAAAGAGGATAAATATGTACAATTAGCAAAGTTAGAATTTAGGGATAAATGAAGAAGGGGTTTATATATGCAAGTATAGAAATATTGAGGTATATTCAAAAAAAAAGGAAAGAGGGAAAGACGATATTGACAAAAATTGTAATTGAGTAAAATGTATTTGAATTTGACTAATTGTATAAGATAAGAAATGACCAACACTCTGTTCAAAAAAAAAAAAAGAAAGAAAGATGTGGGTGAAAGATGTTCTCCTCTTTTAATCCCTTTCCCCCTTCCTCTTCTTCCTTCATTTTTCTTCTCATTTAATCCTCTTCTCCTCCTTTTATCACCCTTTTCTTCTCTTCCTCCTCTTCCTCTCCTTCCTCCTCCTCCTCTCTTAATTCTTCTTCTCCTTTAATCTTCCTCCTTTCCCTCCTGCTCTTCCCTTCCTTCTCCTCTTTTTAATCCCTTTCCCCCTTCCACCTCTTCCTCTCCTCCATTCTCCTCCTTTAATCCTCCTCCTGGCCCAAAGTTAAGCCCTGGCTGATTTTTTTGCGGGCTCAGAAATTAAGCGGGGATAAACCTGCATAATCCTGGGATGGGAGACCACCAGGAAATTCCAGGAAGGTTGATTAAACTAGGAAACAGAAAGAAAAAAAAACCACATCATAAAAAGAACCACAAACCACTTTGGTGTTGCTGATTGGACCTGCCCACTTACACCATTGAGTCCAATAAAGAAGATTTTGCTTTGATGTGGGACGTAAAGAGAGGGCACCAGTTTTCATGGCGGGCATCTAGACCGACGGAAGCAACTTCAGGAAGAGAAGATAACTGAGATGATGTTCATGCCACAAATTCTTCTGAGATAGAAAATTTATTTATTTTGGAGTTCTGGGTGCAGATGACTTTGTTCCAAGATAACTCCCACTTAACTGGATGGAAAATTTGAAATCTATTTTAGCAACTTAAGAAGAGGGTTGTTTGCACAAAATAGGGCCAATCTTTTTTTTTTCGAAGAAATTGCTCACCTGGGCAACGGTCTTCCCTCCCTTGTCTAAAATCAAAGCAAAACAGCTTTACCCACCTGAAAAGGATGCCTGCAGGATTGTGGGTGGTCCATCACTGAAGGTTTCCAAAAATAGATTGGAGAACCCTTTGAATAGGATGGTATGAGGTTTTCTGCCTTGAGCTGTGGGTTGGACTAGAGGATCTCCGAGGTCCCTGCCAGCCCTATGAGTTTATGTTTTTAAATTGCTTGCTTAGCTGATGACCTTATTTTACTCTCCTCGTCTGAGACATTAAGCAAGCTTTAAGACAGAAAAAGGAAATGAAACTTGGGGGGGTGGAATGAACTGTCAATTTTCATTCTGATTGTGTCACTTCTCTCTTTCAGCTGATAAACAGAAAAAGGAAAGAGGGAGGAAAAACTGCGTTCTCACAAAACCTCTGGATTATCAGGGTGAGCCTTGCTTAATTCCAAAAGCAGAGGAGAAGAAACTGGGATGGAGAATTAGAATGGAATGGAATGGAATATGAAATATGAAATATGAAATATGAAATATGGAATATGGAATATGGAATATGGAATATGGAATAGAATAGAATAGAATAGAATAGAATAGAACAGAACAGAACAGAACAGAACAGAACAGAATATGGAATAGAATAGAATAGAATATGGAATAGAATAGAGAATAGAATAGAAAAGAAAAGAAAAGAAAATAGAGAATAGAGAGTAGAACAGAACAGAACAGAACAGAATATGGAATGGAATGGAATGGAATGTGGAATGTGGAAAATAGAATATAGAATATAGAAATAGAATATAGAATATAGAATATAGAATATAATATGGAATATGGAATATAGAATAGAATAGAATAGAATAAAATAGGATAGAATAGAATAGAATAGGATAGAATAGAATAGGATAGAATACAGAATATAGAATAGAATAGAATGGAATATGGAATAAGAATAGAATAGAATGGAATGGAATGGAATGGAATGTGGAATGTGGAATGTGGAATGTGGAAAATAGAATAGAATAGAATAGAATAGAATAGAATAGAATAGAATAGAATAGAATAGAATAGAATAGAATATGGAATATAGAATATAGAATATAGAATATAGAATATAGAATATAGAATATAGAATGGAATATGGAATAGAATAGAATATGGAATATGGAATATGGAATAGAATGGGATATGGGATAAAATAGAATAGTATATGGAATAGAACAGAATCAGAGTTGGGACCTTGGGAGGTCTTCTAGTCCAGCCCCTTGCTCAAGCAGGAAACCCTATACCATTTCAGATAAATGGCTGTCCAATCTCTTCTTAAAAACCTCCAGTGGTGAAGCACCCATGATTTCTGAAGGCAAGCCATACCACCGGTTAATCGTCCTCACTGTTAGGGAGTTTCTCTTTAATTCCAGATTTCTTCTCTCCTTGATTAGTTTCCATCTGTTCTTTCTTGTCCTGCCCTCTGGTGCTTTGGAGAATAACCTGATCCCCTCTTCGTTGTGGCAGCTCTTCAAATACTGGAATTCTGCTATCATGTCACCCCTAATTCTTCTTTTCTCTAGACTGGCCAAACGCAAATCCTGCCACCGTTATTCATTTGTTTTAGTCTCCGTGCTTTTAATCACCTTACTTGCTCTTCTCCGCACTTTTTCCAAAGAAGTTTCAACATCTTTATTTTTTGTAGTGTGGTGACCAAACTTGGTTGCAGTTATTCCAGGTGTGGTCTTACGAAGGATGTCAAGTAACTTCCCATGAATGCTGGAGGGTGGAACTAGCCCAGCCCACATTGTTGGCATCGGTGGAGTCTCCTCCGCCAAATTTTTGTCTCACGCTGAAATTTGATCTCCAGATAGTTTTCTGCCGGACGCCACTTCCCAGAGGTCGATGCTCGTCCGCTCAGGCCACGCCTCGGTGGAAGGAATCAGCCACCGCTCCTGTATCAAATCCTGATTTCGTGGGTCCCCTCTCTGATTTTGGAAAAACCTGGAGCGGTTTGGGAACCACCATGGTCTGGTGCCTGTGCTTTATGTCCGAGGACGAGAAAAATGCCATGGTGATCGATAAAGAAATCAGCCGGCTGCTTCAAGAGCAGAAGAAACGAGACCGATGGGAGTTAAAGTTACTACTGTTGGGTGAGTAGATAACTACTCGTGTTTCCCCGAAAATAAGACCCTGTCTTATATTTTTTTTGAACCCCGAAATAAGCGCTTGGCCTTATTTTCGGGGAGGTCTTATTATTTTGGGGCGCGTAGAACAAGACGGGGCTTCTCTTGCCGTCTTACCTGATTTCCAGCTCTGCGTTTAAATATTTTCGGGGAGGGCTTATTTTCGGGGGAAGGCTCATTGTAGCGCATGCGCTCAAAAGCCCGATTGGGCTTATTATCAAGGGATGTCTTATTTTCAGGGAAACAGGGTATACAGGCAGCCCTCGACTTACAACAGTCCATTTAGCGACCGTTTGAAATTACAGCGGCCCTGGAAAAAAAAAATGATTGTGACTGTTTTTCATACTTACGACTGTTGCAACATCCCCGTGCAATTCAGCATCCCCTGCAATTCAGACACTTGGCAACTGATTCGTGTTTATGACCGCCGCAGTGTCCCGGCCAGTGGTGGGTTTCAAGTAATTTAACAACCGGTTCTCTGCCTTAATGATTTCTTCCAACAACCAGTTTGCCAAACTGCTCAGAAAGCTAACAACCGGTTCTCTCGAAGTGGTGCGAACCGGCTGAATCCCACCGCTGGTCCCGGCCCAGGGTGACGGGATCCTCTTTTGCAACGTTCTGACAAGTAAAGTCAAGGGGGAAACTAGATCCGCTTAACAACCGTGTGACTAACTTAACAGCTGCGGTGATTCACTTAACAACGGTGACAAGAAGGGTCGATGAATGGGGAGACATGTACTTAATGACAGTCTCGCCTAGCAACAGAAAATTTGGGCTCAGTTGTGGTCATATAGTCGAGGACTGCCGGTATGTGGTATTATGGGCGACATAGTCAGAGGTATGAGTAGCTTAAGAACCATGGTGGTGCAATAGTTAGAATGCAGTACTACAGGCTATTTCTGCTGACTACTGGCTACCAGCGGTTCGGTAGTTTGATCCTGACTGGCTCAAGGTTGACTCAGCCTTCCATCCTTCCGATGTCATTGTTCAGTTTTTTTTGTAATGCAGCAAAATGAGAGCTGAAATCTGGTTTTGGAAATTAAAAAAAAAAAAAACTGGCTTATGCTTTCCACCTTTTCATTCTCTCTCTCTCTCTTTCTCTCTCCCCCTCCCTCTCTGATTCTCTCTCTTGTTTCTTTTCCTCTCTCATTCTCTCTCTCATTCTCTTGTTTCTTTTCCTCTCTCATTCTCTCTTTCATTCTCTCTTGTTTCTTTTCCTCTCTCATTCTCTCTTGTTTCTTTTCCTCTCTCATTCTCTCTCTCTCATTCTCTCTCATTCTCTCTCTTTCATTCTCTCTTGTTTCTTTTCCTCTCTCATTCTCTCTTTCATTCTCTTGTTTCTTTTCCTTTCTTTCTCTCTCGTTTCTTTTCCTCTCTCATTCTCTCTCTCTCTCTCTCTCTCATTCTCTCCCCCTCTCTCATTTTTTCATTCACTCTCCTGTTACTTTTCCTCTCTCATACTCTCTCTCTTCCCCTCTCATTCTCTCTCCCTCTTTCATTCTTTTATTCACTCTCGTTTCTTTTCTTCTCCCATTCTCCCCCCCCCCACTTTTAATAGCAATAGCACTTAGACTTATATACTGCTTCACAGTGCTTTACAGCCCTCTCAAAACAGTTTACAGAGTCAGCCTATTGCCCACAACAATCTGGGTCCTTGTTTTACCAACCTCAGAAGGATGGAAGGCTGAGTCAACCTTGAGCCTGGTGAGATTCGAACTGGCAAATTGCAGGCAGCCGGCAGGCAGCAGAAATAGCCTTCCAAGGTCGGTAAAATGAGGACCCAGATTGTTGGGGGCATTAAGCTGACTCTGTAAACCGCTTACAGAGGGCAGCAAAGCACTGTGAAGCGATATATAAGTCTAAGTGCTATCGCTATTAGAGCACAGGCGGAATAATTTTATCTCCTTTTATCTCTTCTGCAGTGTTATCTATCAGAGTCTATGGGTAATGGTTTCCTGTATTGTTCATGAAGTCTTTACAGGTAGTCCTTGACTTATGACCATAATTGAGCCTGGCAATTACAGTGAGAAAACATAACAGTTGTGAAGTGAGTGATCTTTACAAAAAAATTTGCAGGGATTGCTAAACAAATCCATTGTTACCTGTGGAACCGGGTTGTAAGTAGCTTTTTGGAGGGGTATGTCGTACCTTGCTAAGTGGTTGCTAAGCGATTGTTTGTAAATCGAGGACTACCTGTATAATAGAAGGAAGAAAAGTGATTTGCAGGCCTCTTCTAATTTTTTCAAACTTTCTTTTTTGGGGCAATTCTCCTCCAACTATCCAAAACATAAAAACCTGAAGCAGAATTACTAAATTTGGGCAAGGAAATGTTAGCATTAATTTTAGCAATTAAGCAAATAGTCACTTAACCTCATCATGGTCAAAAAAGGCAAGATGGCGGCCACAACGCCATGAGGAAACTTCCACTTATTTTTAATGCCGAACATTAAAGCAGACAAACTATTGTTTTTCCTCCCAATCTGTAAAAAAAAAAAAAAAAAAAAACCACTAAAAAAAAAATCCAAAACTTCATCTGTTCGATTCTGGTGTGGTATTATTTGTTTAAAAGCATAAACACGCCTGTAAAACGGAGTGTTTATGCAATTTATTGGAGGCTGTTTTCAGGATTAACGCTTGTTATGAGAAATGTCAAGGGTGTGTGCCAAAATCCAACAAATTCTTACTGCCGCAGTTGCAAATATTATTGTTAACCCCACGCCTGTTTTTAATGGATTCATGGAGATCAAACCGGCTGAATGAGAAGTTTTGCTATCACCTGCCACTGAGATGCTTTTGGGAAGGAGACTATAACCAAGCCAGCTTCCGATAGCTGAAGTGAGATGTTGGTTAGTTAGAGCAGCGGTCACCAACTGGTGCAGTGGTCCACGAGAAAATTTTGGTGGTCCGCAGAAAAAATATTTGCATTTTTTTTATATTGCACTAAATCAGGGGTCCTCAAACTACGGCCCCTGGGACAGATACGTGCAATGAACGTTTGTGTTGCTGCAGAGAGTCTCCCCCTTTGGGGTCTTTTTGTGCGGGGGGCAGAAATTCAGAATTGGGGTCTGCTTCGGCCTCCTGGTGTGGGGCTTTGGGCGAAGGCTGGAGGGAAGCGCCGCTGGTGGCAAGGAGCCGGAGGGCCTCGTTCCAGTGGGACTGCATCATGGCCTGGAACTGACTGACCATCTCAGCTCGCTGAGCCTCCAGGCGCCGGTACCTGGCCTTCTCGCACTCCCGCAGGTCTTCCCTCTGCTTGGAAAGCCTATGCTCCTAGTCCTCAGTGAGGTTCTTCTGCTAAGCCTCCTTCTCGGTCGGATCCAATTTGAACTGAACTGTTTTGCCAACTCTTTCTTGTGGTGGTTGTTTAGCTACAACAACTGCTTCCTGTTGGGGCCCTAAGAAGCCCAGGTGGGGAGGGGAGGGGTGAATAGAGGTTAGCACGGCGCCTCTCGACGTGAGTGACATTGAGTTGGCCACGCCCACCCAGTCACATGATCACCTAGCTACGCCCACCCAGCCGGTCATTAGGCAGATCATATTAGTGGTCCTCAGGATTTAAAATTATGAATTTAGTGGTCCCTGAGGTCCGAAAGGAGCCTTGATAGTACAGTGGTCTACGCACCCTGTTATTAATACAGCTGCCTGCAATTTCTGCTGGTTCGAATCTCTCCAAGGCTCAAGGTTGACTCAGCCTTCCATCCTTTCTAAGGTAGGTAAATTGAGGACCCAGTTTGTGGGGGCAATAAGCTGACTTTGTATAAATATACAAAAGGATGAAGGCTATTGCTTAGCGCATTGTAAGCCGCCCTGAGTCTCTGGAGAAGGGTGGCATATAAATCAAATTTTTTAAAAAAAAAAAAGGTTTGGGATCCCTGAGTTAGAGAACGGCACAGATTTTTTTTTTTTTTAATTCCACTTTGGGTTTGGAAGTGATCTTGATTAAAAGCGGGGCTCAATTGAACGCTCATGATATTGGGACAGTATAGCTACCAGCCTTGGAAAGTGGACTGAATATCTACTGATCATGGAGAAGATGCGTCTAAATCAGCGTTTCTCGACTGAATTTCCTAGCCAGCATAGCTTGGCTGGGGAATTCTGGGAGTTGAAGTCCACACACCTCAATGTGGGAGTGCTTCAAGGCAGTGGTGGGTTGCTACTGGTTTGCCCCGGATCGGGCCAACTGGTAGCGGTGGCGGTGGGAGGCTCCGCCCAACCGGACGCTTCTGTGCATGCACCTACGAGCGAACTGGTAGCAACGGGTTTTGAAACCTGCCCCTGCTTCAAGGTGTTGTTAAGGTTGATAAATACAGTGGCAGCCCTGAAGATCCCAAATTAAAGATGCCTGACATACTGGTTTAGGTGCTGGCAGGAGAATTCTAGGAGTCGAAGTCCAGAAATCTGGTTGAGGAATTTTGGGAGTCCACGCACCTTAATGATGCTAAGGTTGAGAGACATGGTCCCGGGGAATTCTGAGAGTCGGGAGTCCACGCACCGGAGGTGGGTTTCAGCAGGTTCTGACCAGTTCTGGAGAACCGGTGGCGGAGATTTTGAGTAGTTCGGAGAACCGGTAGTAAAAATTCTGACTGGCCCTGCCCCCATCTATTCTCTGCCTCTGAAGTCCCAGCTGATCTGGGAATGTTTATGTTTATGTTTATGTTTTATTAAATTTGTATACCGCCCTACTCCTGAAGGACTCAGGGCGGTGAACAGGCACAGGATAAAATACAGGAATACAAAAGTTAGAAACAATTTAAAACCAAATTAAATAATTTAGCCCACGACAATTAAAACCCCAATAATTTAAAACAAATTAAAATTTCAGTTTAAAAATTTAAAAGAAAGGGGTGAAAAATTAGGCCAGGCCGGCTTGCTGGAATAAGAGGGTCTTAAGAGCACGGCGGAAAGTGCGCAGATCCGGGATCCTCCGTATCTCCGGGGGGAGCTTGTTCCAGATAGTGGGTGCCCCCACAGAGAAGGCCTCCCCCTGGAGGCCGCCAGTCGACACTGCTTGGGGATTTTGGGGAAATGGGGATTTTGCAGTAACTTTCCCCTTGGGGGCAAGTTGGGGACAGAATGGAGATTTTACAGTATCCTTCCCCTGCCACGCCCACCAAACCACACCCACCAAGACATGCCACGCCCACCGAGCCACACCCACAGAACTGGTAGTAAAAAATTTTGAAACCCACCACTGCCACACTCCTTAATGATGCTAAGGTTGAGAGAAATAGTCCTGGGTAATTCTGGGAGTTGGGAGTCCACACACCTTGCTAAGGTTGAGAAATACTGGTTTAGATGCTGGCAGGAGAATTCTGGGAGTTCAAGTCCACAAATCTGGCTGAGGAATTCTGGGAGTTGGAGTCCACACACCTTAATGATGCTAACTAAGGTTGAGAAACATGGTCCAGAGGCTAGCTGGGGAATTCTGGAATTTGGAATCCAAACACCTTCAATGTTGCTAAGGTTGAGAAGCAGTGGTTTAGATGCTGGGTGAAGAATTCTGGGAGCTGGAGACCACCAACCTGACTGAGCAATTCTGGGAGTTGAAGTCCACGCATCTTAAAATGGATAAGGTTGAAAAATACTGTTCTAGAGAAATACTTCCCTGTTCTTTTATTCACTTCTTTTCAACTGAAGCGATCAGCAAATTTCTCCCTGTAAACCAGGAACTTTGCCATTGAGCCACTAACTTCTTCCTTCCTCCAAAGACTGAATTTGGTCTCTTGTGTTGATCCGTGCACTCATAAGTTCTTTCCTATCACCTCCAGCCTAATGGTTATAAGAGGGTTGGTTGTAAGATAGGCAGCTCCATGAATGTTTTAAATGAAATTAAATCAATCAATCAATCATTGCTGGGGTTGGCGATTTAATTCCTTTGAGCGCCTGGTACCATCAAAGGAAACTCTTGCAAAATTGTAAAACTGAATATAGCAGAATAACAGAGTTGGGAGGGACCTTGGAGGTCTTCTAGTCCAACCCCCTGCTTAGGCAGGAAACCCTACACCACTTCAGACAAATGGTTATCCAACTTCTTCTTAAAAACTTCCCGTGTTAGAACATTCACAACTTCTGGAGGCAAGTTATTCCACTGATTAATGGTTCTCACTGTCAGGAAATTCCTCCTTAGTTCTCAGTTGCTTCTGTCCTTGATTAGTTTCCACCCATTGCTTCTTGTTCTGCCTTCAGGTGTTTTGGAGAATAGGTTGACCCCCTCTTCTTTGTGGCAGCCCCTGAGATATTGGAAGACTGCGATCATGTCACCCCTATTGCTTCTCTTGATTAGACTAGATATATCCAGTTCAGGGGTAAAATCTAAAATTTGTTACTACCGGTTCTGTGGGCGTGGCCTGGTGGGGGAGTAATGTGACTGGGTGGGCGTGGCCAACTTTTTTTTTTTTAACTTTTAAAAGCATTTTTTCTACAACCTCTTCCGCCGAAGAGGTTGCAGAAAAAAATGCTTTTAAAAGCCTCCGATGATCAGGCAACTCAGCTGGGATCGCCAGAGGCTTTTAAAGGCATTTTTTCCCACTACAACCTCTTCAGCTGAAGAGGTTGCAGAAAAAAATGCTTTTAGAAGCCTCTGACGATCCCAGCTGAACCGTGCGATCATCAGAGGCTTTTTCTTTTTACTTTTAAAAGTATTCTTTCGGCCGAAGAGGTTGTAGGAAAAATGCTTTTACAAGTAAAAAAAAAAACAGCCTCTGATGATTGTGCGGCTCAGCTGGGCATGAGAGGTGGGGGGGCCGCAGGGATTTTTGCTACCGGTTCTCCGAACCACCCGCCGCCATCGCTACCGGATCGGGCAATCCGGTCCAAACCAGGAGCATTTCACCCCTGATCCAGTTCCTGCAACTGCTGATCGTACAGTTTAGTCTTCAGTTCCCTAATCATCTTTGTTGCTGTGAATAACAGAATAAGAGAGTTGGAAGGGACCTCGGAGGTCTTGTAGTCCAACCCCTTGCTCAGGTAGGAAACCCTACACCATTTCAGACAAATGGCTGTCCAATCTCATCTTAAAAACCTTCAGTGTTGGAGCACCCACAACTTCTAGACTACAGTAAGCCGTTCCACTGGTTAACTGTTCTCTCTATTAGGAAGGTTCTCCTTAATTCCAAGTTGCTTCTCTCTTTGACTAGTTTCCAGCCATTGCTTCTTGTTCTACCTTCAGGTGCTTTGGAGAATAGCTTGACTCCCTCTTCTTTGTGGCAGCCCCTGAGATATTGGAAGACTGCTATCCAGAGGTGGGTTTCAGCAGGTTCTGAACCAGTTCTGGAGAACCGGTAGCGGAACTTTTGAGTAGTTCGGAGAACCGGTAGTAAAAATTCTGACTGGCCCTGCCCCCATCTATTCTCTGCCTCGCGAGTCCCAGCTGATTGGGAGGAAATGGGGATTTTGCAGTAACCTTCCCCTGAATTGGGGAGGGAATGGAGATTTTACAGTATCCTTCCCCTGGAGTGGGGTGGGAATGGAGATTTTACAGTATCCTTCCCCTGCCACGCCCACCAAGCTATGCCACGCCCACCAAGCCACACCCACAGAACCGGTAGTAAAAAATTTTGAAACCCACCACTGCTGCTATCCTGTTACCCCTGGTCCTTCTTTTCATTAAACTAGACATACCCAGTTCTTGCAACCGTTCTTCGTGTGTTTTAGCCTCCAGTCCTCTAATCATCTTTGTTGCTCTTCTCTGCACTCTTTCTAGAGTCTCCACAACGTTTTTACATCGTGGTGACCAAAACTGGATGCTGTATTCCAAGTGTGGCCTTACCAAGGCATTATAAAGTGGTATTAACACTTCACGTGATCTTGATTCTATCCCTCTGTTTATGCAGCCTAGAACTGTGCTGGCATTCTTCTTCTCAGTTCTCATCTAAAAGGCTGAAATCTAAGGTGCTTTTGATGGCTTTGCCCATCGTCTGGTCCAATTCTCTTGAGACTGTGGTTCATTTCAGTGGCAGGTGATAAGGAGGTTGGTCAGGACAATGCCTCAGCATTTAGGCTTCCTTACAAAGGGGGGTTGGACTACAAGACCTCTAAGGTCCCTCCCAACTCTGTTATTCCTGTTAAGTAGGACTAGACTTTGAACCCAGATGTTCTACTGGAAAATCAATGGTTTTGAATTTGTACAGATTTTTGTTCATCATCTTTAACATAATTTTATATATTCAATTTTTCTCATATCTTTTATTTTCTCTAAATTTAAAAAAAAACAACCCCAATATTACCCTTCATCTTAACATCTCCTCCTAGTATAATTCCTTTTTTCTTTTCCCTCCTTAAAATTTGAACCCCTAAATTTAAATTCACGGAACATAATACAATCCCCAATTATTTCCTTAAATTCTCTTATTCTACTCACCAATAATTCTTTTATCAACTATTCCAAATAATACATTTCAACAGTTAAACATATTCAATAAAGGAAAAAAAAATCAATTAAATATCAATCTTACTTCAGTACCCCTATATTTAAATTCATATAACATAATACAATTCCCAATTATTTTCTTGAATTCTCTTGTTCCAATCTCAGATAGTTTTTTTCTTTACCAGTTATTCCAAATAGTACATTTTGATATTTTTATCAAAACCAATTAAATTGCTGTTGCGATCTGGCGAGATCTGGCCATGAATGGTGTGAATGGGTTTTAATTGTTTTTAATGTTTTAATGTTTAATGTTTTTATATATGGTTTTTAAATGCATTGTAAGCCGCCTTGAGTCTTCGGAGAAAGGCGGCATACAAGTTGAACAAATAAATAAATAAAATATATCTAATTAATTCATAATCCAATATCATTTCAACTTTCTTTTCTTATTTAGTTAAGTGCCAAATATATTCAATAACAAATTCAAAACCGGGCCAATATTCTGTTTAGAAAAGATGCATTGTATGTTTGTCTGTGTGTTTTAAAAAATAAAAAAAACTTTACAAAAAAAAAGAAAGAAAGAAAATCAATGGGGTTTTTTTTTGTGCGTTACCCATCAGGCACTGGAGAAGGTGGAAAAAGTACCTTTATCAAACAGATGAGGATTATCCACGGTGTGGGATTCACGGAAGACGAACGGAAGGACTTTTCCAAAGTGGTCTATCAAAACATCTTCACCGCTATCCAGGCTATTATCAAAGCTATGGAGAGCCTGCAGATTCCTTATGGCCAGGAGGAGAATGCAGTGAGTATCCGCATACAGGGAATCCTCGACTTACAGCCAGCGACCGTTTGAAGTTACGACGACGCTGAAAACAGTGACTGATGGACTGTTTTCACACTTACTTACTTACTTACTTTACTTATTTATTTTATTTTATTTTATTTTATTTTATTTATTTTATTTTATTTATTTTATTTTATTTTATTTTATTTTATTTTATTTTATTTTATTTTATTATTTTATTTTATTTTATTAGATTTATATACCGCCCTACTCCCGAAGGACTCAGGGCGGTGAACAGCCAAAAAATAAAAAAAAAATTTTTACAAAATTTTAAAAGACAGTATAAAACCACATTAAATAATTTGGCCCGGGACAAATTAAAAACACCCCCCATGGTTAAGACAAATTTAAAATTTACAATTTAAAAAGGGAAAAAGTTAGGCCAGGCCAGCCTGTTGAAATAGAAAGGTCTTAAGGGCGCGGCGGAAGGTGCGTAGATCCGGGATCCTCCGTATCTCCGGGGGGAGCTCATTCCAGATAGTAGGTGCCCCCACAGAGAAGGCTCTCCCCCTGGGGGCTGCCAGCCGACACTGTTTGGCTGACGGCACCCTGAGGAGCCCCTCTCTGTGAGAGCGTACTGGCCGGTGAGAGGCTACTGGTGGCAGCAGGCGGTCCCGTAAGTATCCATTGCGGCATCCCCACGGTCACATGATCAAAATTCAGACTGGCGTGTATTTATGATGGTTGCACTGTCCCCGGGGTCATGTAATCCCGCAGTTGCAAGTCTCTGATCAGCAAAATCAGTGGGGGGAAGCCAGATTTGCTTAACGACCTCATGATTCACTTAACAACTGCAGTGATTTGCTCAACGGCTGTGGCAAATAGGTTGTAAAATGAGGCAAAACCTAAAGAGCAACTGTCTTACTTAGGAAAAGAGATGTTGGGCTGAATTATGCCTGTGCTCCATCGTTAGTTTGCTTTAGAGCAGCGGAAGTGGGGAGGTGGGGGAACCGGACTGGACTATGGCCCTTTTTCGACCTGTGGACTACAACTCCCAGAATTCCTGGGCTGCGAGTTGAAGTTCCACACGTCTGTATTGGTTATTAATGACCAATATTTTATTTATTTATTTATTTATTTATTTAATTTGTATACCGCCCTTCTCCCAGAGGGGACTCAGGGTGGTGAACAGCCAAAATTAAAAAACATACAAATACAAAAGTTAACATAATTAAAAAGAATTAAATCATTAGCTTCCCAATTTAAAACCTCCAAATCCATAAAATTTAAAATCCCAATTTAAAAACCATTCAGGCTAGGCCGGCTTGGTGGAATAAAAACGTCTTCAGGGCTTTACGGAAGGTCCGGAGGTCCGGGATCAGTCGTATTCCAGGAGGCAGCTCGTTCCACAGGGCGGGTGCCCCCACAGAGAAGGCTCGCCCCCTGGGGGCCGCCAGCCGACATTGCCTGACCGACGGCACCCCGAGGAGGCCCTTTCTGTGAGAGCGTATTGGCCGGTGGGAGGTTATCGGTAGCAGCAGGCGGTCTCGCAAATATCCTGGCCCTAAGCCACAGGATAGACCACAGTTGTCCTGAAATCACTTCACACCTCCATGATCACTGTTCGTTCAGTGTGCAGCATTCAGGAAATGGGTCTCCTCTGACTATGCTTCTAGAATTTTCCTACCCAACATTTCCCACTCTGCTCTTAACAGAATAACAGAGTTGGAAGGGACCTTGGAGGTCTTCTAGTCCAGCCCTTTGCTCAGGCAGGAAACCCTATATCATTTCAGACAAATGGTTGTCCAGTTTCTTCTTAAAAGCCTCCAGCGATGCAGCAACCCACAACTTCTCGAGGCAAGTTGTTCCACTGATTAATTTTTCCCACTGACAGGAAATTTCTCCTTATTTCTAGGTTGCTTCTCTCCTTGATTAGTTTCCATCCATTGCTTCTTGTCCTGCTTTTAGCTACTTTGGAGAATGGCTTGACTCCCTCTTCTTTGTGGCAGTCTGTCAAATATCGGAAGGCTGCTATAATGACATTTATTTACTTATTTATTTATTCATTCATTCATTCATTCATTCATTCATTCATTCATTCATTCATTCAATTTATATGCCGCCCCTCTCCAAAGACCCAGGGCGGAGATAAACTAGATACAGTATAGCAATAGCACTTAGACTTATATACCGCTTTACAATGCTTTACAGCCCTCTCTAAGCGGTTTACAGAGTCAGCCTATTGTCCCCCCAACAATCTGGGTCCTCATTTTACCGACCTCGGAAGGATGGAAGGCTGAGTCAACCTTTGAGCCTGGTGAGATTCGAACTGGCAAATTGCAGGCAGCCGGCAGGCAGCAGAAGTAGCCTGCAGTACTGCACTCTAATCACTCTGCCACTGAGGCTCATATATACCCAACTAGCTGGACGCACTACGAAACTATGTGCTCGGGGTTTAAATTGATACTTGCTGCCTGAAACTTAATGTAGAACTTTGGAACTCCGTAGAATCAGAGTGTGTTAATACAGTGCAACTGGCAGTTGGAACAGAGGGGGAGGGGGAGTAGAATGTCCCAGCCTGCAGCATCCATCAGTATTCATCTGGCTAGCATCCTGTCAGTGTGTGAGAGAGTTGAGGGGTGTTTGGAAACTCAAACAGTATTTGCTGTGTGAGCAAGAAGGAGACAGGAAGGAGGCTGGGTGTGGCTTAGCTCAACTGTTCTGTGGTAAAGCTGCTTGCTGCTGTGAAAGTAAAACTGAAAGTGAAACTCCTCTCCTCTGCTTGAGTTTCACATTTGGAACAGATTTCTTTTTCAGGTGGGGAGAGGGAGTACAACTCCTTAGCATCAGAGCATGTTAATCATAATATGGGAAATACTAATGCTCTGATGGTCATTTTGAAAAATCCTTTCTTAGTGAGCACCTAGAAGCCAAGAGGAACAAACGTGGCAAATTTCAAGTTTGTAGATTTTATCGTTCTGGAGATTTCATAATTAATGTGTAAGTGGTTTCCGCTTTTATATATATAGATTCCTGCAACTGTTCTTCATCTGCCTCATAAAACCATCCTTTTCTGCCTCTAGCAAAATGCCCAGCGGCTTCTGAATGTCGATGCCTACAAAGTAGCCTCCCTGGAGCCCCACCACGCAAGGATCATTGGCGGCCTCTGGAAGGATGCCGGCATTAGGACCTGTTATAAGAGGAGAAGCGAATTCAACCTGCTCGATTCGACATCCTAGTGAGTCCCTTTAATCCGGTTCACTCTTTGGTTTGGCGCGACCATCACCTGTTCTTACCCTGGGTTGAGGGTTGATTGTAGTCTTCTCACGAAACAGACTCCTTGTCCTGAAAAAAAAACAAACCCTTTTTATTTGGCTAACGTGAATTCCTAGCATTCATATCCAGCAAAGGCCCGGCAAACAGTCTTTCAAGGGTGAATTGCAACCACAGACCTTATCCGTCCTTGGATAGTTGCCAGGCCAATAGCTTCCAGGCGCAACTGCTGTACAATGAAATGTTGGCAAGGAATCTCTGTGAGGCAGGAACTCAGATAAACCAAATCTTCACACTAATAAACGAACTGTAAGGTCCCAAAATACACTTGAGTCACCAGAGAGAGAGACTCAAGACGAGGCTTGCAAAAAAACCAGATTTTATTTATGGCCAAAAAGAAAATACTGGATGGAACTATATCCAGAACATACAGATACAATGCATACGAGGAAATAGCCACACCTTGGGGAAGGTCTGGAGTCCTTTTATACCCTCAGAGACGTCAGCTTAGTACTCAATCCTGGCCTCCTAATTTAGGTTTGTGTATTCTTTGTTGCCCTGCAAGGGGGAATAGAAACTTCCCAATTAGTTTTATCTTAAGCATTTCTTTGTTTACTCAATTGGCCACTTAGCCCCCTGGCTTTGAAAGACAAGATCTTATCCAGATCAAACATAAATTAGGACTGAGGTGTAAATTATCCCTTGGAGATACGTACCATGCTCTTAGATGGCACAAGAAAAAACAGGGAGAAGATTGATATGGGTTCAGGTCAAATGGCATCCCCTTGTGCCTTTACTCCTGAGTCGACCCTTGTTCCTTCCCTGTTCCCTTCTCCTGACAGCTCTGCGCATGCGCACATCGGGAACAGGCTCCAGCTGTTCTTCTGCCCCACTTATCTCCGACTCCGAAGATAGCTGATAACTGTCAGATGGCCCTGGCCCCCTCTCTGCCTCCGATGCAGAGCCCTCCCCAGACTCCAGGACTGGCCCATGTTCCTCCCCAACCTCCTCACTGTCCGAGTCTGCTACCAGTTCCACTGCTTGCAGGCGGGCCACAACACATAGAGCTGAAAGGAGGGTCCAAGAGCCTATCAGTTTTTTTAAAAACTTGTTGGCACTGTGGTGGTGCAAAGATTTGTGTGCTTCCCGAGTGGACAGTGGACGCACACCACAACAGCTAGACACAAGGACAGTTTTTTTCCCCCATGCCATCACTCGGCTAAACAACCCATTCTCACAACACTGCCAAACTCTTTAGTAAGACTGTATTAATATTATTGCTCTCATCTTTCCTATTACCTCTCTCCTTTTCTACTTATGACTATAACTTTGTTGCTTGTCTGTTTACGATTTAGGTTGTTTTATTTAGTTTCCTAGTACCGTTTATGTTGATTCTATCACTAAGTGTTGTGTCTTATGATTTATGATGAATGCATTTTTTATGATGACTTATCATGATTTATCACTTACAGCTTGTATGTACAATGAGAGCTTATGCACCGAAGACAAATTCTTGTGTGTCCAATCACACTTGGCCAAAAAAGAATTCTATTCTATTCTATTCTATTCTATTCTATTCTATTCTATTCTATTCTTCTATTCTATTCTATTCCATTCCCATTCCATTCCATTCCATTCCATTCCATTCCATTCCCTATATCCATTCTATTCTATTCTATTCTATTCTATTCTATTCTTTTCTATTCTATTCTATTCTCTTCTATTCTATTCCATTCCATTCCATTCCATTCCATTCCTTATATTCCTTCTATTCTATTCTATTTATTCTATTCTATTTCTATTCTATTCTATTCTATTCTATTCTATTCCATTCCATTCCATTCCATTCCATTCCATTCCATTCCATTCTCTTCCACTCCACTCTCTCTTCTCTTCTCTTCTCTTTTCTCTTCTCTTCTCTTCTCTTCTCTTCTCTTCTCTTCTCTTCTCTTCTCTTCTCTTCCCTTCCCTTCCCTTCCCTTCCCTTCCCTTCCCTTCCCTTCCATCACTCCACTCCACTCTCTATTCTATTCTATTCTATTCTATTCTATTCTATTCTATTCTATTCTATTCTATTCTATTCTATTCTATATTCTATTCTATTCCATTCCATTCTATTCTACATTCCAATGTTCTGTTCTGTTCTGTTCTGATCCATTCCATTCTGTTCTGTTCCCTTCCATTCCACCACAACTTTCCCAGATTTCAGATCGGCTGAGGAATTCTGGGAGTTGAAGTCCACCTATCTTAGAGTTGCCAAGTTTGAAAGGCAGTGTACTAGAGAGGTGTATCCATTCATTTTGATATTTGTCAGTCCATTGCCCAGAATGATAGGTGTCTCTCTGTCTCAGCTTCCTTTCGAATCTGGACCGCATTGCTTCTGAGGGGTATGTGCCAAGTGCCCAGGATATCTTGAGAACTCGCGTGCCCACGACGGGCATTAACGAGTACTGCTTCTCAATGCAAAAGGTGATGTTAAGGTAAGTTGAAAAAACTTTCATCCCAAGTGTTTATGTTTCGTAATGGATTCCTTAAAATAAAGATATAATCGGGGTTGGTAACTATATAGTAGTTAGTCCTCGGCTAACAACTGTTCATTTAGTGACCATTCAAAGTTACAACATCACTGAAAAAAGTAACTTACGACCGTTTTTCACACTTGGCATCCCCGTGGTCGCATAATTTACATTCACATGCTTGATAACCGACTCACATTTATGACGGTGGCACTGTCCCAGAGTCAGGGGATCCCCTTTTGCAAACTTCTGACAAGCAGGGGGGAAATCAATTTCATTTAAGAATGATGCTAATTTAACAACTGCAGTGATTCACTTAACCAATGTGGCAAGAAAAGTCTAAATGGGGCAAAACTCTCAATTTTCTCACTGAACAACAGAAATTTGGGGCTCAGTTGTGGTTGTAAGTTGAGGACTAACTGTAGTCCCTTCATGACCCGTGGACTTCAATTCCCAGAATTCCTGAGCCAGCCATGTGTCTTTGTGTCGTTGTGTAAGAACGACACATGAGCACAAATGACAGAAAAATGCCCTCCTCTGATGAGATAGGAACGTATTGCAATCTCATCCCTGAGATCCTCGCACTTACGACCATGGCAGCAATTCCCCACAGTCACATGATCAAAATTTGGGTGCTTGGCAACCGCCATCTATTTTCAATGGTTGCAGCATCCCGGGGTCACGTGATCAGTTGATGACTTTGCTTAATGACTACATGATTCACTTAACAACTGCAGTGATTTGCTTAACAACCATGGCAAAAAAAAAGGTCATAGAATTGGAAGTGACTCTCTTAACGGCAAATTTGCTTAACAGTGGAAATTCGGATCCCAATTGTGGTCATAAGTCAATCAATCAGAATAGAGCTGGAAGGGACCTTGGAGGTCTTCTAGTCCAACTCCCTGCTCATGCAGGAGATCCTATACCAGTGACCTTCTTGCCGTCATGTGCCAAAAGTGGGGGGGGGGTCGCACACGCACATGCCCACAGCCATAATTCAGTGCCCCCCACCCCCGTGCATGCATGTGTGATCCCCCCGCACTCCCCCGTGCATACGCGCCTCGTTTTGGACCTAGCAGGCCTCCCTGAAGCCTCTGGAGGCCGAAAACGATCCATTTCCAGACTTCCAGTAGGCCCGTTTTTTGCCCTCCCCAGGCTCCAGAGGCCTTTTTGGAGCCTGGGCAGGGCGAAAACAGCCTCCCCCATCTCCCCGGAGGCCCTCCGGAGGCTGGAAACAGCCCATTTCCTCACTTCCGGTGGGCCCGGCAGGCCCGCTTTTCGCCCTCCGCAGACTTCAGAAGCTTTCCTGGAGCCTGGGGAGGCCAAAAACATCATCCCAGAGCCTCCACGTGAGCCCTATATTTACCTGCCATCCAAAACGGGCCACATGGAGACTCCTGGGAGGGGAGGGGTGGTGTGAGCAGGACCAGCCAAAAATCAGCTGGCCGGTGCGCGTATGCACGCTGGAGCTGAGCTAGAGCAACGGCTCGCGTGCCTGCAGATATGGCTCCACATGCCACCTGTGGGACACGTGCCATACATTCGCCATCACGGCCCTATACCATTTCAGACAAATGGTTGTCCAGTCTCTTTTTAAAAACCTCCAATACTGGAGCACCCATAACTTCTGGTGGCAAGCAGTTCCACTGGTTAATTGCCCTCACTGTTAGGAACTTTCTCCTTAATTCCAAGTTGCTTCTCCCCTTGGTTAGTTGCCATCTGTTGCTTCTTGTCTTGCCTTTTGGTGCTTTGGAGAATAATTTGACCCCATTCTTCTTTATGGCAGCCCCTCAAATACTGAAATACTGCTATCATGTCCCGCCTAGTCCTTCTTTTCTCTAGTTTGGCCATTCCCAAATCCTGCAACCATTCTTCTTATGTTTTAGTCTCTAGGCCTGTGATGGTGAACCTGTGGCACACATGCCACAGGTGGCACGCGGAGCCATATCTGTGGGCACGCGAGCATTGCCCTAGCTTCGCTCCGGCGCGAGCAGCTGATTTTTGGTCCTTCTGGGCCCACCGGAAGTCGGGAAATGGGCTGTTTCCAGCTTCCGGAGGGCCTCCGGGGGTGGGGTGGGGAAGGCCATTTTCATCCTTCCCAGGCTCCTAGAAAGGCTCTGGAACCTGGGGAGGATGAAAAACGGGCCTTGCAGTCCCACCAGAAGTCAGGAAATGAGCCATTTCCAGCCACCAGAGAGCGGGAGGAACCCACCACTGCTACCATGCCATTGTGTACCAAAAGCGGGGGGGGGACGGGACACAGGGGGTTGCGTGCGTATGCACGGGACACATTGGATTATGGGTGTGGGTACATGCACACGCAACTCCCCTGCGCTCCCCCGCTTTTGGTACGCAACGGCAAAAAGGTTAGCCATCACGGCTCTAGGCTTTTAATCATTTTAGCTTCGGCCAAGTCTCAATGTCTTTTTTGTAATGTGGTCACCAAAACTGGACACTGTACTCCAGGTGTGGTCTTTAGTAAGGCTTTATGAAGAGGTACTCTCTAAGTAGCTCAGTGGCTAAGACGCTGAGCTTGTCGATCAGAAAGGTCGGCGGTTCAAATCCCTCATATAGGTCTCATGCGTGAGCAGGGGGTTGGACTAGATGACCCCCAAAGTCCCTCCCAACTTTGTTACTGTTACTTCATGTGATTTTGATTCAATGCCTCTGTTTATACAGCCAAGGATCGTATTAGCTTTTTTTGGCTGCTGCCGCATGCTCCGAGATCCCTCTCACAGTTACCGTTTTTGATGGCCATGATTCGCCTAGCTGGAGGACTACCTATAGATTTTTTTTTTTTCATTTCTATTTTGTTAGGATTGTTGATGTTGGTGGGCAGAAAACTGAACGCCGGAAGTGGATCCACTGTTTCGAAAACGTGATTGCCTTGATCTATTTGGCTTCTCTGAGCGAGTATGACCAGTCGCTGGAGGAGAATAATAGCGAAGTAAGGAGCAGTGTTGAGGCAGGAATATTTGAGGGGATAGAGGGACAATGAAGGGTGAGGATTGTGTTTGTGTGTATTCTGTGTCAGCACTTCAACCTGCATTTATTCTAGTGCTGACATAAAGAAGAAGAGGGGGCAGCTGGCAAGAGGACGCTTGACTTCTCACCTACTTATTTTCCCTGAAGATAATATCCCCTAGGAGATGAGATGGGAGGGGGGACATTCCTGGGAGCTGAAGTAATAGATATGGGGAGAGTGATTTGGAAGAGGGCCAATGAGACGCAGAGAATTGGGGAACGGAAAGGGAAGGTTTGGGGTCAGGAAGTCAGAGTTGGCTACGCCACAATCGGGGACAGGTTGTCGTGCTTAATAAAATGAAAGATTTCTCCAAAGTTTATTCATTTTTATTTTTATTTTATTTTATTTTTATACCGCCCTTCTCCTGCGGGACTCAGGGCGGTGTACAGCCAAGATAAAACATAGCATATAAAATTTAAAAACAGTGTTTATGAGTTTGGAAATGCAATTTATTTTAATTGAGACGACATCGAAACCTGACATTCTGTGTGTGTGTGTGTGTGTGTGTGTGTGTGTGAATTTATATGAGGGGTCCTTGATGCTCTCTGAGCTTGATGGTTTTCTCGAAGACATTTCTTGACCCAACTAGGTAACATCATCAGTGCTAAAATGAAATGGGATTTACTCTCTGTTTTATAGAAGTGACTCACCTGTCTACACTCCCTTCTAGCTCTCAGTTTATATACAAGTACCACTCCCTTCTAGCACTGATGATGTTACCTAGTTGGGTAATGAAACTTCTACAAGGAAACAACCAAGCTCAGAGAACACCGAGGACCCCACCTCTTCCTCTTCCTCCTCCCCTTTTCCTCCACCACTCCACAAACCTCACTCCCTTCTAGCACTGATGATATTACCTAGTTTGGTAATGAAATGTCTGCAAGAAAACAACCAAACAGCCAAGCTGTACCAAGAACCTCATAGTCCTTTTCCTCTTCCTCTTCCCTCCCCCTCCTTTTCCCACTCCCCCCCCCCAGCTTCCTCCATTCTTCTACTCCCTTCTGCAAATCTCGCTCCCCACTAACATTGATAATGTTACCTAGATGGGTCACGAAACGTCTGCAAGAAAACCACCAACTTTAGAGAACATCAAGGACTCCACAGTTCAATCCTGAGCTACAAATATTCTCTTCTGTCAGAATTTATACATATTGTCTGACCTTCTGATCCAGCTGAAATGTCCCTTGGTTGAGTGGTGGGATTCAGCCGGTTCGGGATGGTTTAGGACGGTTCGGGGCAACCGGTAGTTAAATTGCTGGATGGCCCTTCCCCTCTCTTCCCCGCCCCTTCCAGGAGTCCCCATGCACCCCAGATTGGCTCCCAGGTAAGTGCAGGGAGACCTACTAGGCCCAAAATGGGACACAGGGGGGTGCGGCGCCCTCCCCGCAGCCCATTTTCTCTCCCAGGAGGCTCCTTTCTCTGGACAAACCAGGGGTGAAATCCAACAGGTTCTGGAGAACCGGTAGCGGAAATTTTGAGTAGTTCGGAGAACCGGCAAATGCCACCTCTGGCTGGTCCCAGAGTGGGGAGGGAATGGAGATTTTGCAATATCCTTCCCCCCAGGAGTGGGGAGGAAATGGGGATTTTGCAGTATCCTTCCCCCAGGAGTGGGGAGGGAATGGGGATTTTGCAATATCCTTCCCCCAGGAGTGGGGTAGGAATGGAGATTTTGCAGTATCCTTCCCCCAGGAGTGGGGAGGAAATGGGGATTTTGCAATATCCTTCCCCCAGGACTGGGGAGGGAATGGGGATTTTGCAATATCCTTCCCCCAGGAGTGGGGAAGGAATGGGGATTTTGCAGTATCCTTACTCTGGAGTGGGGTAGGAGTAGAGATTTTGCAATATCCTTCCCCCAGGAGTGGGGAGGGAATGGGGATTTTGCAATATCCTTCCTCCAGGAGTGGCGAGGGAATGAGGATTTTGCAATATCCTTCCCCCAGGAGTGGGGTAGGAATGGAGATTTTGCAGTATCCTTCCCCTGTCATGCCCACCAAGCGACGCCTACCAAGCCCACACCACACCCACCAACCCACACTCACAGAACTGGTAGTAAAAAAAAATTCGGATTTCACCACTGAGACAAACCGATGCCTGCAGAAAAGCCCTCCAGAACAAACTTCCAATCTTCATTTTTGCTGCTCATATTTGATGGTAGCTTTATGCATGTTTTCCTTCTTTTTTCCCCCTCATTTCCCCCTCCCCCACTTTTTCCTATCAGAACCGAATGAGGGAGAGTTTGGATCTCTTCAGGACCATTCTGGAGCTGCCCTGGTTCTGGAACACCTCGATTATTCTCTTCTTGAACAAAGTGGACATCCTGGAAGAGAAAATCCTCACCTCGGATCTGGCCGCCTATTTCCCCACTTTCCCAGGTAACGTTTCCTGCTTCGGACAGCCGGGCAGCGTGGAGGAGCGGTTATTTATTTTATTTTTTTAATTTTATTTTAGTTATTTATTTTTATATGCCGCCCTTCTCCGGAGACTCAGGGCGGCTTACAATGCGTTAAGCAATAGCCTTCATACTTTTGTATATTTTATACAAAGTCAGCTTATTGCCCCCACAATCTGGGTCCTCATTTCATCTACCTTTGAAAGGATGGAAGGCTGAGTCGACCTTGAGCCTGGTGAGATTTGAACTTGCAGTAATTGCAGGCAGCTGGATGTTAATAGATGTTAATAACAGTACTTTAGTCCACTGTACTACAGGCTTATTTATTGGTTCGATTTATATACCGTCCTTTTCCGGAGACTCAGGGTGGCTTACAATGTACTAAGCAATAGCCTTCATCCTTTTGTATATTTATACAAAGTCAGCTTATTGCCCCCACAAACCGGGTCCTCATTTTATCCACCTTAGAAAGGATGGAAGGCTGAGTCGACCTTGAGCGTGGTGAGAATTGAACTCGCAGTAATTGCAGGCAGCTGGATGTTAAATGCTGCCTTAGTAGGAGGCATTAGTCTCCTATGCCACTCAGGCTTAGACAGGCTTAGAGGGGCTGCCTGTCAAAGTGGCGCGTTCTAGAAAAAGATCGCAAAATTGGTGCAAACTGGGGCCTGCTTCCCTAATCTGAACCCTGAGCTAAATTTTGAGGAAGTTGCTCTTTCATTACCTCAGTTACAAGTAGTCCTCAACTTACGACCCCCAATGGGACTGGAAATTTCCATCGCTAAGCAACGTGGTCATTAAGTGCCCAATTTTGCAACCTTTTGGGGTTTGTTTGTTTTTTTCCGCGGGTTGTTAAACAAACTGCTGCAGTCGCTAAGCGGATCGTGTTGTTAAGCGAATCCACTTCCTCCATTGACTTTGCTTGTCAGAAGCCGGATGGGAAAGTCGTAAATGCTGATGATCAAATAACTCCGGGACTCTGCAACCATCATAAATACATGCTGTTTGTTGCCAAATACCCATAATTGTGATCACATGACTGTGGAGATGCTGCTTATGGTCGTAAGTACAAGGACTGGTTGTAAGTCACTTCTTTCAGGGTGATTGTAACTTCAAACAGTTACAAGGGTGCTTTAACACCCTGCTGTTAAGGCACTGTTCGGCTGGAAAACTGGTTTGAATCTCTGGAAATCACTTATTATTATGATTTAAAATTGTGCTTATTAAAGCTTCAAACTCAATTGATATTTTTCAGGCAGCCTGTATTTATCTAAGACAGTGTTTCTCAACCTTGGTAGCTTGAAGATGGGTGGACTTCAATTCCCAGAGTTGAAGTCCACCCATCTTCAAGCTTCCAAGCTTGAGAAACACTGATCTAAAAGGTAAAATCCTTTTTTCCCCTCAAAAACCTCTAGGGGCATCACTAAAAATCCATTTAATTTTCAGAGCAAAATTGTATTTCCGTAGCTTTCCTCCAGGATGACCAAATTCCCAGTCCAGACTACATTTGGTGATTTCCTTGTGGTGTCCCATCCAGGAGCTATCCAAGTCTACCCCCGTGCTTAAGGTCGGTTAAGTGCTGCCCCCTGCTGGGTCATTCTCTTTTCAAATCTAAGGTCACAAACTTACTGAGAAATAGTAATACGGTTAGTCCTCGACTTACAACAGCTCATTTAGTGACTGTTCAAAGTTGCACTGAAAACAAGTGACTTAGGACCACTTTTCACAGTTACAACTTTTGCAGCATCCCCAGAGTCTCGTGTTCAAAATTCAAATGCTTGGCAACCAAGTCATATTTATGACTTAACAACTGCAGGGATTCACTTAACAACGGTGGCAACAAAGGTCGTAAAATGGGGCAAAGCTCACGTAACAAAAGTCTCACTTAATTACAGAAATTTTGGCCTCAATTGTGGCCATACGTTGAGGACTATCTGTGTAACCTACTGATGATGTGATTCTGTCTTTCCTAATCTCCATGCATCACCAAGTAGACCCATATCATGCCTGACCTGGGAAGTGACAAAGGCAACTTTCAGATTCAGGTTCTAAATGGAAGGGACCTTGTAGGTCATCTAGTCCAACCCCCTGCCCAAGCAGGAGACCCTACACCATTTCTGACAAATGGCAGTCCAGTCTCTTCTTGAAAGCTTCCAGTGATGAAGCTCCCACAACTTCCGAAGGCAACTTCTGTTCCATGGGTTGATTTTTCTCACTGTTGGAAAATTTCTCCTTATTTCCAGGTTGAATCTCTCCTTGTTCAGTTTCCATCCATTATTCTTTCTCTGGCCTTCAGGTGCTTTGGAGAATAGCTTGACCCCTTCCTCTCTGTGACAGGCCCTCAAATATTGGAAGACTGCTATCATGTCTCCCCTGGTCCTTCTTTTCATTAAACATTAAACATACCCAATTCCTGCAACTGTTCTGTATATGTTTTAGCCTCCAGTCCCCTCATCATCCTGGTTGCTCTTCTCTGCACTCTTTCTAGAGTCTCCACATCTTTTTTATAGTGTGGTGACCAAATCTGGATGCAGTACTCTAGGAGTGGTCTTACTAAGTCTTTACAGAGTGGTATTAGTACCTCCCTTGATCTTGATTGAATCCCTCTGTTAATGCAGTTTAGGATTGCATTGGCTTTTTTGGCTGTTGCCACACACTGTTGGCTCATAATTTATCCACCGTCAAAAACAGATGCTGTCTTATTGGCTTTGTGTAGCTTTCTTGACTGATTTGGACTGAAACGGGCTCCAAAACCAGTTAGGTTTTGAAGCAACCTAGAACTAAGGAGAAATTTCCTGACAGTTAGAAGAATTAATCAGTGGAACGACCTGCCACCAGAAGTTGTGATGGCTCCAACACGGGAGGTTTTTAAGAAGAGATTGGACAAGCATTTGGCTGAAGTTGTATAAGGTTTCCTGCTTGAGCAGGGGGTTGGACTAGAAGACCTCTAAGTTCCCTTCCAACTCTGTTAATTCTATTCTATTATTCTGTTAATGCAATTTAGAATTGCATTGGCTTTTTTGGCTGCTGCGGCACACTGTTGGCTCCTATAGGTCTTGTAGTCCAACACCTTGCTCAGGCAGTTGACCCTATACCAGGGATGGCTAACCTTTTTGCCGTCGCGTGCCAAAAGCAGGGGGAACATGGGGGGGGTGTTTGCGCACATGCGTGCCCACACCCATAATTCAATGTGCCCTGCACATGCGTGCGTGACTGCCCTGCGCTCCCCCCGCTTTTGGCACATGATGGCCCGGTAGGCCTGTTTTTGCCTACCGGGCTCCAGAGCCTTTCTAGGAGCCTGGGGAGGACGGAAATGGCCTTCCCCATCCCCCCTCCTTTTCTGGTCTCGGGAGGGTCTCTGAGGGGATGGGGAAGGCCGTTTTTGCCCTCCCCAGGCTTCTAGAAAGGCTCTGGAGCCTGGAGAGAGTGAAAAATGGGCCTTCCCTACCCCCTCCCCCTCCCCGGAGGCTCTCCAGAGGCCGGAAACAGGCTGTTTCCCGACTTCCAGTAGGCCCAGAGGGCCCAAAAATGAGCTGAACTAGGGCAATGCTCGCGTGCCCACCGATATGGCTCCGCGTGCCACCTGTGGCACTCGTGCCATAGGTTCGCCATCACGGCCCTATACCATTTCAGACAAGTAGCTACCCAGTCTCTTCTTGAGAACCTCCAGTGATGGAGCAGGTTGCTTCTTGATTAGTTCCATCCATTGCTACTTGTCCTGCCTTCTGGTGCTTTGGAGAACAAGTTGACTCCTTTTTCTTTGTGGCAGCCCCTCAAATACTGGAATACTGCTATCATGTCCCCCCTAGTCCTTCTTTTCTCTAGACTGGCCATACCCAGTTTCTGCAACCGTTTCTTCATATGTTTTAGTCTCCAGGCCTGTAATCATCTTAAATTGCTCTTCTCTGCACTTTTTCCAAAATCTCAACAACTTGGTGGGGTTACAGCCAAAGAAGGATGTTTAGAGGACATACTGGGGCTGTGGTTAGGGTGCAAATAGGGCCCAGCCCTTAGCGATTTCCTGTAGCATTTGAATGAAGAAAACACGTCGGTTTTGCGCTGAGTTTGGCCAGCCACACCTTTGCTTAGAATTTAGGCACACCTTTCATCTTCAAGCTGTTGTCGCTTTAAGATCGTGTTGGGTTTCTCAACCTTAGCAAGGAATTCCCCAGCCTGACCTTGGCAACTCTATGATAGCTGGACTTCAGTTTCCAGTATTCCTCAGCCCTTGGCAATGTTATGAAACTTAGAATAGAATAGAGGTGGAAGGGACCTTGGTGGTCTTCTGGTCCAGCTCCCTGCTCAAGCAGGAGAACCTATATTATTTCAGATAAGTGACTGTCTAGCCTCGTGATGGCGAACTTATGGCACGCGTACCACAGGTGGCACACGGAGCCATATTGGTGGGCACGTGAGCTCAGCTCTAGCACACATGCACGCGCCGGCCAGCTGATTTTCAGGCCTTCTGGGCCCACCAGAAGTAGGGAAACAGGTTGTTTCCTGCCTCTGGAGGGCCTGGGGTGGGGGTGGGGAAGGCCCGTTTTTTGCTCTCCCCAAGCTCCAGAGCCTGTCTGGTGGGACCGGAAGTTGGCAAAAGGGCCATTTCCGGCCAGCGAGCTGATTTTCAGGCCTTCTGGGCCACCAGAAGTAGGGAGGTTGTTTCCTGCCTCTGGAGGGCCTCCGGGGCGGTGGGGAAGGCCGTTTTCACCCTCCCCAGGATCCTAGAGAGGGTCTGGAGCCTGGGGAGAGCAAAAAACAGGCCTTCCAGTCCCACCAGAAGTCAGCAAATGGGCTGTTTCCGGCCTCCAGATGGCCTCCGGGGGGCCGGGGGGAGGCAGTTTTCGCCCTCCCCAGGATCCTAGAGAGGCTCTAGAGCCTGGGGAGAGCAAAAAACAGGACTTCCAGTCCCACCGGAAGTCAGCAAATGAGCCGTTTCCGGCCTCCAGATGGCCTCCGGGGGTGAGGGGGAGGCAGTTTTCACCCTTG